GCTTAGTCCAAGCAGGAGAAGACCAACATGAAGCCAAACTGAGGAGCTCCATGAACAATAAGTCGCCTTATTTGAAGATTGTGATGCGGAGAAGGGGTTTGGAGGAAAATGATTGTGATGTAGGGAAATGAAGGAGAAGGAGGGAATTGGGGTTTAGAGGAAAATTAGATTAGATGCAGAAGGAATGAAACCAGGGATGGAAAGTAACTATGATTTGAAGAAATATTTAAGAATTACCAATGGTTTCATAGGAAAATTATTTTAAAAAAAATTTTAGGAGTGGATTTTGTTATAAACGGCTGGAAAATTAAAAAAAAAACACTATAATTTTAGTCATAAACCGCCAACAATTATTCGAAGTTTCTAAAGCCGTCGAAAAATAACTTCTCATAACATATATTGTTTTTGTAATATATATATATATATATATATATATATATATGTTTAATTTTAAATTTTTATTTATATTTTCAAATTTATAACATTGGTGTTAAAATTAATATCAATGATAAGTTTTTCTAAGTTCAGTCCTAGATTATGCTCATGATATACACATATATGTTTAATTTTAAATTTTTATTTGTATTTTCAAATTTGACATGTATTGGTGTTAAAACTCATATCAATGATGAATTTTTCTAAGTTCAATCCTAGATTATGCTCATGGAGCTAATGTCCACTCTTGCCACTCTTCTATATATATATATATATATATATATATATATATATATAACCCATTAAATATTAAGTGTCGAAACTATGACACCATTGACCGAGAAATTAATGGACTGTTTTGATATTTAATTTAGGGAAAAATATTAACGCAACATTCCATACAAACGAAAAAGTGAGTATAAGTCATATAGTTAATCACTAGAAATTATCTGATAAGTCACATATAAAACTTATTTTTATCCAATATAAAAAAAAAAAGACCTAGATCAATTAATCATAAACTCATAATGATTCATTCACATGTTTATATTAACATAATTATAGTAGAAGTTATAAAGTTTGATCAAGTTTCTCCATAATTACTTAGATTAATTTATCTAAAGGTTAAGATAATATGTTTAAAAGAGATGATTGATATGTTCTATCTAATAACAAGATATTGTAAGAAAATGATAGGATTCTTAGGCCAATACAATGTTAGTGTTTTTTCTTAATGTGATTTATTTCATATTATAATGATATATCAGTTAAACACATATGAGTATCCTTGTACCAACTAATATTCGTAAAAAATAACTTTATTTTGACTTAATGTATGATCCACTACTTATAAATATATTTTAATGAAAAAACATCTTTCAATTCCATCTAAAATGTTTCTTCCATCAATACTTTTAATATTGGAGGAATGAGAAACATTTCAATTTTGAGCGAAAATGTTTTAGATTGAAGTAATTTAATATATATATATACATATATATATATATATATACATATATATATATA